GAAAACATGTTAGTTTTTACATATTTATGTACTTCTTAATATAATTAAAGAAAAGTTCATACGTGTAACATTCACAACTCTGTCATTAGATATTATGTATAGCTGGTACAAGTTATGGAGAAAAAAAATCTTCTGGAATCTATGAAAGTAAAAAATATATATAATTTATTCTAAAACTCAGTATATATATATATATTGCCAAATTCGCCTATTATATTTGACCACTGAAAAAAAAAATAGTTAAACACTGTCAAATATTACTTAAATTTATGGCCAAACAAATATCAAAAGCATCCAATAATTTTATTTTCATAAGGCTTCTGAAAATAGTCCTCTTACTATGCTATTCTTGTATCTTATTGTATTAGTTATAAAATGGGCAAGGTATCTGTTTTGTCTTTACTTATGATAATAAGTACTTTATCTCATCTGCAGATGTTCTCATTCACACTAACTGGAGTTTTAAATTTACAAACAAAATTCCAAATATAGCACAGTTATTGTGTAATAACACTATGCTACAAAAACCTGGCAGCATTTTAGCCTAGTCCAATAGTAGATTGTCTCTTACAGCATCTTAGCTCAGTCCAATAGGGTCTTGTCTCTTACACTGTCTTAGCCTAGTCCAATAGGATCTTGTCTCTTACACCATCTTAGCCCAGTCCAATAAGATCTCATCTCTTACACTGTCTTAGCCTAGTCCAACAAGAGCTTGTCTCTTACAGCATCTTAGCCAAGTGCAATAGGAGCTTGTCTCTTACAGCATCTTAACCCTGTCCAATAGGATCTTGTCTCTTACACTATCTTAGCCTTGTCCAATAGGATTTTGTCTCTTACAGTGTCTTAGCCTAGTCCAATAGGATCTTGGCAAAAGGCAGTAGGAGGTGAGACATTGTGGGTTTAAGCACTCACCTCTTCACCCTTGTTTTGATTTTCCATGATGGTCAACTTTTTTAACTTTGACATTTTGGATTTTGCTTGATAGATGGGATAGCCCCAACGTTTTTGGGTGCTATTACCACAAGCTGTATCTGTTTATGATTATGGATGACTGATCGGGAGTGAAAGTAGATGCATTAAATGATTATGTGTGTGTGTGTGTGTGTGTATATATATATATATATACTAACTTAC